CATATATTGACCGCAAAAACGGATGAACGAGCAGCTGCTTAATCGACAAAGGCGATTTTAATAAAAATTTCTTCGGCTTCGTCGTCGTTCAAAATGTAAACAATCTTTTTGTTTCAACTTCAACTTCATTGTAATTCTACCGATATTTTTCTTTCTCTCTTCAACTTTGTAATCAATGATGGATTAAAATTTCGAATATTACACAAATGATCTCATCATCGCCATATTGGAGATGCTACAGGTACGAGTATCGGTGATTCAATTCCCGAAATTTGACGAGTAATGCAACAGAACGTAGAATTTTTTTTTCGTATTTAATGAAACGATAATAAAAAAAAAAATATTAAAATAAAAGCATTCCAAATATAGAAATTATTATAAATATATAACGTAGCAGTACGTAATATACACTCATTACCCGAGGAGTTCAGTGTCTCGATAATTAATACGCGACCTTGCGGATTCTTGCGGATTAATTTCTTTTTTTTTTTTCGCATTCTCAATAATAGAGAGCGAAGAAAATAATAGAGAGCAAGAATCGTGAGAAGGTTTAAACTTATATCAAGAATTGTTTTCACTTCTAAACACTTTTTCTTTCAAGAAAATATCGATTTGCCGGCGAAAAATTCATAACGTTTTTGTTCACTCTTCCAGAAAATATTTCTCTTCCGAGAAGAAAGAAAAATATATGTATATATATATATATATATGTACGAACAAATTTTTCTCTCCAATATTTCAATGATTAATTTCCCAATCGTATCAAAATATTAACCATTCTTGCTTCTTTCTTTTCTTTCAATCAAGAATAAGCAAGACCGTGGCCGAAAGTAAATTCACGTGGCCGACAGCTCGTCTTGTTTAAATTTCAAAGAACGTTCGTTGACACCATTTTTACCAAGCATAAGGCCCGATGGTCAGGCCGAGCACCTTCGATTCAAGGAGGAACGTAACATCTGTCGACTTTTAAAATTCCGCTCGAGTATAGAGAATATATATATATATGTGTGTGTATATTTTCGTGCATGCGCACGAAGAGGGCAAGAAGAGATAAAAGATAAAGGGAGGAAACGTGAAAATCGAGCACGATGAAAATGTTGGGAAATAATATAATTAGAAAAGTCGTCGACTGACACGACCGTAGTCCATGATCTTGAAGCGGCGTTCTCGAGTCGTGGGAGTCCTTCGCATAATTAACATCGCGAAAGAATGCAACAACGGTGAAAGAGAAGGCTTAGAAAAAGAAGGAAATGAAAGGAGAGGAGGATGGAAACGGTGGCGAAGAGGGGAAGGAGGGAAGGAACTTTATGGGGAGAAAAAGAATAAAAAAAAAAAAAAAGAAGAGAAAAAAAAAATATACGAGCGACATAATTAATGATTTCTCCGTAATAATTGGCGTTTTCACTGATCTTGAATCTTGGATCGTGGATCTTTCTACTACCGTGTTTACTCTCGCTTCGTGTAGCGGTAAACATGTGAAAAATTTTGCTCGTTATCCAATACGTGTAAATTCTTGAATAATTGGCATTAAAATAAATAAGTAAGTAAGTAAGTAAGCTGATTTTGGGAGAGAAAAGGGAAATATTAGAAGAATATATATAAAAATATAAGAGTTAAATTGGAAGAACGCGTAAAGATGATCCGTAAAACTTCAATGAATAACTATGAATGAAATTCAATGGACTTTCGAGTGTAAAACTTCGTGAATACGTGTTATCAAAAGGATCTTAGCCTCGTATAAACTCAATTATAATGAAAATCATCGTCGTATAGCACTTTCTCCTATCGATCTAATAATCATTAACTTTATAATATTATTACTACGATAGACCTTTTACTATAATCGTTTATTTCTCATAGTTTATTTCAGAAATTCAATTTCACGTCTTAAGAGATTTCAAACTCGTGAAATTTGATTTAATTAAAATCTGATATATCGAAATATCGTTATACTATTAGTTTATTGTAATTTACTATTAAAAATAATAATTGAAATAAAAAGTAAAAGTGTGAAATCAGAAATTGTTTAACGTTTCGAAGTCAAATTTTCAATTACGTTTCTCTCTTACCGTTGAAATTATCGAGATTTCGTAAAAATTTATCGTGCAAAAATGCAATGAAAGATAAAATTTCTTATCCTAAAAACGCTATACCGCCTAACAATTAACTTTCGAAGAAACTGAAAAAGGAAACTCATCGAGAACGATCAAACCGCGTTCAGAACGGTTTTCTTAGAATGAAGAGTTACGTAAAACATTGTACCGTGTCCGATATACCAATGAACCACAATACGAGATACTTCATGCGTGTAAAAGCGTTTTCCGCAACTCTGATCCACATTATAAAGAATAAAGGTGGGTACAACGGCTAACGGAATGCCGCAGATACCACCCACGACCGAGATCACTAACATTTCACATATGGCCGTTATCCAAGGGTAATTTTCGCAACGTGGGAATCCACGACCTTTCGGTTCTACATTCGCCTCTATTGATCGCATCTGAATAGCGGGAAAAGATATTTCGCAAAGGGAATTCCACGAGAAGGAAATCGCGAGGATCCAGACAATTAAAGACCGCTTGCTCGAACGAGGTAAGCAATTTAAGTTACTTAAAACTTACGATGATTATATACTACTTTTTTTTTTATATCTGATTGCATATACCGTTGATCCAGAAGAGCAATGCAACGTGCAATGCAAAAACATCGATTAATTTAGTCATTGGTTTAGAAAATTCACAATTCTTCTGATATTAAAACTTTCTCGTTCAAGAAGAAGACACGGAAATTTACTTTACATAAGAAAAAATAAGTCTTAATGTCACACATTTTATTGCTGTGCACTTTCATCGTATCTTCTATGCCGTAACGATCGTTTTAAACATGATCGATTTAGATTTCACCGTAACTTTATTGAATTATTATACAAGAAACCATGACACTTTACGTACTATTCTTCCTCAAAGCGTGTAAAATTAACTTGTAGAAATATGGAAACAAGATTTATTTACAATGTGAAATAAGGCTATCTTAGACTTGTGTTTCTAACAAGATTTCTTTACAAAGTATATATCATGCTTCGTAAATTTTATAACCCTTATCATCCAGTGAAAATCCAACTATATTTAACGTTGATAAGATCGATTCTCGATTTTAATATTTCAATCGATCGCGAATACGATTAGAGGAGAGGCATAGCAATCACGAATCTGCGCATAAGACTTTCTATTTAGAACGTTTCAATGCGATACAATTTCACTTGTTCCACAGTCACTTTGTCAACGAAAAATCAAGTTGATTATGTCTCGACAAACAGGAAATGATAATAAAGTTTGAAAAAAGAAAAAAAAATGATTATATGAAACTTGCACTTATAGTTCCGGGTTCATGGCTGTGGGACAATGTTGGTCACGCAATTCACGCGGTTGGATAATACAATAATAATTAACTATAAAAAAAAATGAATGTTCCTCGAAGGGCTCGAGGAAGCCGCGGAAAAATCGTTAATGAGCTTATGCTTTTACGCGTAAATAAAAAAACATAAAGAAATAATAATTAATCGCATTTTCTTGGAAATACGACAACTATTTACATACATGTGTATCGAATATATAATTGGAAATATATCGATTTTCATTTCAAATTTAATGTTAATAATATTAATTAATAATTGATATTTGATAAACTTTTCATCATGATAATTAATTTATGCATGATAAAAAAATTATTTATATTTATAATAACTTGTTATTTTATTAATAATTTTATAATAATTATTTTAATCATTTTTAATCATATTTAAATCATAAAATAATATAATTCAACAAATTTTTGCATAAAAAGATATGCGACTCACCACAAATGTGTAAGAAATGTTACTATGAATTATTGTTGTCCAAAAGAAATCATCAAGAAATATCTTGCTATAGGTTGGAGAATATGAAAGCTGAGAAAAATCTGTAACAAAAACTTAATTTAAAATATTGGATGAAAAAATGAAAATAATAAAAGATAAAATGTTATTAAATTTACAATATAATAATAATAAACATTGATACTTTAATATGAAAACTTGAAATGTAATGAAATAAAATTGATTATAATAAAAACTAAACTATTTTAATTTTAGTGTGAATAGAAACTTATTCTAAATATGTCTATTATTAAAAGAAATAAAATATTACCAAATAAAGAAATTGGAAATTGAATACAAATCATTGCGATATATAACATATGTATATAATGAATCATTATTCCTCTTCCAAGTTATTCTGAAAATTTAATAATAATCTTTAAAAATACATATAAAAATCTTAAAACAAATATATAGAATTAAAATTATATTGAAATAAAATAATACCAAATCCAAATTCTTCAAACCAAAATTTATAATACAAATTACCGGTCAATAGTCAAAAAGTTGATAGAAGAAAAAATATAAATACAAATAAATATATAAAATAAAATAAAATAAAATAAAAATAAATAATTTTATTATATAATATCAATAAGTTATAAAATAAATATATAATAATAATTTATAAATTTGTTAGTACAGGAATAGAATTATTTACTGAAAAATTGAAGTTCCAACACATCGAACTGTGACATGTTCTGTTCCAATGATAGAAGAATAATGTCACGCCACATCACTTAGCGCTTTTCTAATTGGCTAAAACGACATTGGCTAAACAAGTTCTTTATTCGTTCAAAATCGCGCGAAAAATTAAAATTTATGTACATTTAATTGTGTACACATAATTGTAGTATATTGAAAATTTTTATGACAAGATATCAAATATTTTAAAACTTCAAATAGCCAAATTAAAATATTTTTTTTTATATGGTAAATATTAATATAATTATAAATTAAATATGTGAACACAACTATGCAATAAAGTACTATATAAATATTTCAAAATAATAAACAAAATAGAACCAATAAGAAATAATATTATCATAAATTTCTAACAAAAATAGGAGAAAAAAAAATACTTTAATGCCAGGAATGTACAATAATTGTTTAATGAACTTAATTGTATTACAAGAATTGTAGTTACACATATGTAATTACATCACTACAATTCGATATTCTTGACTTTACATATGCATAAATAAACACTTATATATTGATAAAAATAGTAGTGAATATGAAATATACATAAAAAAGTAACATAGGGGAGCTATCAATACTATCAATTTTTTTAGACAATGCCTTTAGATTTTACTCCCTAAGGCAGTCTAACATAATGACCCATTATTATGAACTCTAAAATAGGTCATTCTTTTTAAAAAGACTATTAGAATCTTTCAACTGCATATAAGCAACTTCAAGTAGCCAAGTTGAAATATTTTTTTCTACATGGTAAGTACATTCTCCTCCTCGAAGTCTCAATACCAAGTGCAATGTAGATTCTTTTTGGATATTGTAATCTAAGAGTGTTCTTCCATCTTCAAGTTGTTTTCCAGCAAAAATCAATCGTTGCTGATCAGGAGGAATTCCTTCTTTATCTTGAATCTTAGCCTTTACATTCTCTATTGTATCCGAAGCTTCAACTTCAAGTGTAATAGTCTTTCCAGTAAGAGTTTTGACAAAGATTTGCATTCCTCCGCGAAGTCGCAATACCAGATGAAGAGTAGATTCTTTCTGAATATTATAATCAGAGAGTGTTCTTCCATCTTCAAGCTGTTTGCCAGCAAAAATCAAACGTTGTTGATCAGGAGGAATTCCTTCTTTATCTTGAATCTTAGCCTTTACGTTCTCTATTGTATCCGAAGCTTCAACTTCAAGTGTAATAGTCTTTCCAGTAAGAGTTTTGACAAAGATTTGCATTCCTCCACGAAGTCTCAATACCAGATGAAGAGTAGATTCTTTCTGAATATTATAATCTGAGAGTGTTCTTCCATCTTCAAGTTGTTTGCCAGCAAAGATCAATCGCTGTTGATCAGGAGGAATTCCTTCTTTATCTTGAATCTTAGCCTTTACGTTCTCTATTGTATCTGAAGCTTCAACTTCAAGAGTGATAGTTTTCCCAGTAAGAGTTTTGACAAAGATTTGCATTCCTCCTCGAAGTCTCAATACTAGATGAAGAGTAGACTCTTTCTGAATATTATAATCTGAGAGTGTTCTTCCATCTTCAAGTTGTTTGCCAGCAAAGATCAATCGCTGCTGATCAGGAGGAATTCCTTCTTTATCTTGAATCTTAGCTTTTACATTCTCTATTGTATCCGAAGCTTCAACTTCAAGAGTGATAGTTTTTCCAGTGAGAGTTTTGACAAAAATTTGCATTCCTCCTCGAAGTCTCAATACCAAATGAAGAGTAGATTCTTTCTGAATATTATAATCTGAGAGTGTTCTTCCATCTTCAAGCTGTTTTCCAGCAAAGATCAATCGTTGTTGATCAGGAGGAATTCCTTCTTTATCTTGAATCTTAGCCTTCACATTCTCTATAGTATCTGAAGCTTCAACTTCAAGAGTGATAGTTTTTCCAGTTAGGGTTTTAACAAAAATCTGCATGATTGTAGATTTGGAAAACTACAAAAAAGAATAATTATGAAATCTATATTTATTTATTATTCATAATTATTTATATATTACTTAATAAATAATTTTAGATTGAAAAATATATTAAATATATTAACTAATAAAATAATATTTAATATATTTATGTATATTTTTTTGCATATTATTTATATAGAAATAAGATATTATATTATAAAAATTATAAATAAAAATTTATAATTTATATAGTGCTAAGTAATATATAATATATATAGTGCTAAGTAAACGAAAATAATGTTCATAATAAATAGCGTCTTAATTGAGTCTTTAAAGAAAGTAAAAATTATGTAAAAAATGCATTAAATTTTGTAATACATTAATTACTTATATATCGTGTAAAAAATTGATACTTTGATATTAATATCTTAAATAAAATTGTTGTATAATAATTGTATATAATTCAAATTTAAGAAACATATTAATTTTATCTGTAATTGTTTAACAAGATGGTGGCTCCGAAATGAGACTGACGTATTGATTATTTGAAAATTTATTTAATATTTTTATATACAATTTTAGAAAAGGTAAATATATATTTATATATTAAATTTATATTATACTTACACACGTTTAAATAATTTATAAGATGATATTCGCAACACAAGTTGAATTAAGTCGTTCAAAAAATCAAGCTTAGACAAGCGTTCAAAATAAGAACCAGTAAGTCACAGGGAGGGACGTGAAATGACACAAATCTAGTAGTATATAAGTATTTAATATCAATTGTTACCAAATACTAAGTTTCAAATTCTCTAGACTGACTACAAAATAGAGAATGTTTAACGATATCATTTTTTAGTAATAGAAAAACAAATTTAGAAAAAATTTACATTTAATTAATAAGAGTATTAAATTTAAATTTTAATAAAAAAAATAAAATTTCAAGACATGTTCAAAAGTATATTTAAATTTGTTAAAAATTTTATGAAAATAGTTAAAGAAAAGAATTAAAAAATTAAAAAAATTTATCGATGTAAATATTTAAATAAAATAAAATAATTATTTTAATAAAACATAATATAATAACATTAAAATAACATTAAAATATAAAAATAAAATTAAACAAAATTTGATGTTCATAGGTAATTAATTTTCAAATTTATCGTAACAAGATTAATCATAATAAATTATAATCAATATTTATAAAAAATCTATACATTTGTTTGTATCAAATAAAAGATAAAAAAAATTGATTATATATAAATATTAATTTTAGATTTTAGATTAAAGAAAATAAAATATGATAATACGAAACGATATTTTTATATATTAAATTATTAAATTATTATTATATTATTTAATTATTAAATAAATAATTAGGATTTAAAAGAGAAAAAAACAAATTTTTTTATAGGAATGCATTGATATTTGTTAAATAAATAAGTACATCACAAGAATATGTCATTATACGCACACAGACAACTTGCCATTCTTGTCATTATATATGAATAAATAAATATTTTTATATTGATAGCAAGTATTAATGAATATGATACATAAAAAAGTAGTAGAATGTATCTATCAATACTATTGATTTTACTAGATATCATCAACAGAATTTACTATCATGTCAGTTTCAAGATATAGTCTTTCATGAAATTAACTATAACACAGACTTTGATTATTGTTTAGATAATTATTAATATCTTCAAACTGCATGACAGCAGGTTCAAATAGACAAAGTTTCTGTATAATGTGTTGCATATGATTATACATTCCTCCTCGAAGTCTCAACACTAGGTGAAGTGTAGATTCTTTCTGAATGTTATAATCTGAAAGAGTTCTTCCATCTTCTAGTTGTTTACCAGCAAAGATTAAACGTTGTTGATCTGGAGGAATTCCTTCTTTATCTTGAATCTTAGCTTTAACATTCTCTATTGTGTCTGAAGCTTCAACTTCTAAAGTAATGGTCTTACCAGTGAGAGTTTTGACAAAGATTTGCATACCTCCTCTAAGTCTCAACACTAAATGGAGTGTAGATTCCTTTTGGATATTATAATCTGAGAGAGTTCTTCCATCTTCTAACTGTTTACCAGCAAAAATCAAACGTTGTTGATCAGGGGGAATTCCTTCTTTGTCTTGAATCTTAGCCTTTACATTTTCTATTGTGTCTGAAGCTTCAACTTCAAGTGTAATAGTTTTCCCAGTAAGAGTTTTGACAAAAATTTGCATTCCTCCTCGAAGTCTCAATACTAGATGAAGAGTAGATTCTTTTTGAATATTATAATCTGAGAGTGTTCTACCATCTTCAAGTTGTTTGCCAGCAAAAATCAAACGTTGTTGATCTGGTGGAATTCCCTCTTTATCTTGAATCTTAGCCTTTACATTCTCTATTGTGTCTGAAGCTTCAACTTCTAAGGTGATAGTTTTTCCTGTTAAAGTCTTAACAAAGATCTGCATTTTTATGTAGAAACCTATAAAAAAAACAATAAAAAAATTTTAATATATTATTATTCGTTATGTGATAAAAATTAGTTTATTTAATACTAAAAATAAAATATTAAGTAAAATATTAATCTGTTTAATTGTTATTCATCAAAATGGAGGCTCGCAATATTGAAATCATAAAATATTGATTATTTATAAATCTACTTAATATCTTTACATATAGGAAGTTGTAAAAATATCAACTATACTTACGTAGACTGAAATAATTTACAAAAAGATATTTGGAATGCAATCCAAGTTAAATTCTTTGAAAGACCAAATAGGGATAAAAGTTCGAAAATGATACTGATAAATCCGAGAAAGGGATATGAAATGACGTAAAACTGGTGTTTGTAAAGTAGGCTGTGATCTGTGATATATATTCCGATTGCCAAAATATAGAATTATAATTCTCTAAATGAAAGATCATATGTACAAGAATTTCTTAAAATTAGTTTAATTGATCTTAAATAAATAAATATACTTAATATTATTGAATTTTAATTATAATCGAAAAAATAAAGTTCAAACTTCGATATCTTTTATAATAAAAGCATATTATTCAATTGTATAGAATTGTATACTAGTACTTTTTAGATTCTTAATATTGAAAATAGATTCAAAAATATACTCAATATATTTGAATTCAAAAAATTATAGTTGCGCGCGATAAAATATTTAAAAGAATATAAAATAATTACAAACAACGAATTATAGAATTATATAATGGACATTTGCAATATCATATATGAAAGAAAAGAACAATCGATTTTATATGCTTCATTTCCGCAAATAAATGATTTATGTTGTGTAATTTGTGAAATTGATTTTATCGAAGTTCGTGATTCATCAGCAAAATCAAATTTTCACTGGCAAACAATGAAATGTCGGTAAGAATAAGTATTATATTATTTATTACATTATTTATCTTGCGTTAGTTAACTTATAATCGATTTTTATATTAAAATAATATTATAATTTTAGATTACTTATTCATTTAATTTCTGATATTATTGCTTCACCAGTAATGGGCACAGAAAAATTTATATTTGTTATTACGAATAAAAAATTTTTTGAAACTGGAAAGTTGTTAAAAATTTTAAAAAATTTTAAACTAGTGGTTTGTTTAAGATTTATTTCTTGAATGATATATTATTATTATTTTTATGTTATATATTATTTTTATTTTTACTTTTATTTTTATTAGTATCAAGGATTACGATCAGTTACAATAGAATTATACAAAATTTGTCTTATATATACGATACAGACTAAAATAGCCCCTTTATGGAATAAAGTTGGTGAATATTTAGTTCAAGGAAAAGATTTTTATAACTTTATACAAGGAACCAGAGCATTGAAATTAGATATACTTATAGAAGGTCTGCCAAATTTATTCTTTATTTATTTATATAATTTTATATATTAATATTAAACAAATTTTTAGAAAAGAATATATCTATAAAACTTCATGCAGAAATAATTAAAATTCCATATATAAAACTTGAAGATTATTTTCCGTCATCTGTTATATCTCAGTTTCTAGCAGATCCTAAAGGATATATTGATTTATCTCATTATAATCCTCCATTTGTATATGTATTACCAAGGTAATAATCATTGTCTTCATTTATATATATTTACATTTATTTATACAAAATATGATAGGAAGTATAGAATAATAGAAAATATATGTAGAAATATATGTAAAAATAATTTTACAATAATTTAAAAGAATAATATTTTTTCGTGTTTGAGATTTTTCAAAAAAATAAAAAATTTAAAAATTTATTCAATGTATATACGAGTATTTGTTTTTATTCAATTTTGATTATCTTGAAAATAAAAATGTAAATAAAAAATATTTTTCTATTGTTTATTTAATTATTTAATTATTTTCGTAAATACTTAGAATAACTAAGTATTAAATTCTAAGTATTAAATTCTAGTTCTAAGTATTAAATTATTTATATTGAAAATAACCAAATTTTTTTTTTAATAATTTAACAAATTCAATTTTTTTGAAAATACGCCTCAAATGTTATTTTTTTCGACTTATTTTTGTATAAATATCAATAATAATTAATAAAATAATATTTTTTATAGCACAAAAAAAGGAAAATTATTATCTGTATCTAAAGAACTTCCAGCAAGATGTGTTTTTAAAGATTATGATCAATTACGTAGACATTGGAAAAATATGGTACAAATAATAAATATATATTATTTACAATCAAAATTATTTTTATCATCAATATATTTATATATGTACATAATATTTCAGTATGGATATTCTTTATCTAAAAATAAAAATGAAATTTTATTTTATGAAATTAAATTTTTGATTCCTAAATCTAATATTTTCATATATCCTAATATGTGTATAGCAAGTGGACCATTAGAAATTATTCCAAATAAAGATAAAAAATCTACAATTACATATTTTTTAGCTGATATGCTTATGAAATTACCTACAGTTTGTGGTAAACAATTACAAATATCTGAATATACTCCATTTATTCCAGTAAGTTATAAACTATGTACATTATATAATATAAACAATAAAAAAATATATTTATTATATTATTATTATATTTTCCTATATTATTATTATATCTCCTATTATATTTTCTATAGAAATCTTTAAATATAAATTTATCATCTAATTTATTATTAAAAGATAAAAAATTGGATACATATCTTAAAGAAAAGGAAAACATTACCTCACAATTTGAATTTTCTAATAAATATGCAGATGAATTAACAAAAAATACAAATGTTGCAACATCTTTAACAACACAATTAACTAAAATCCATCAATTTAATAATATACAATTTCATGAAAATATAAAAATTGATTCAATTAACAAAAATGCAAAAGAAAATCAAAATGGTACATATTAAAATAATGAAATATTTTTATAAATATTTTAAAATTTGTATAGTAATTATAAAATAATTTTTAAACTTCAGAAAGCCAATGTTTAAATAGTACACAAAATGTAAAAGATAATTATATTAAGAATAATGTTTTAAGAAATTCAAATGATCATTTTATTCTATCAAAGGAGAATACAATTTCAAGATATTTTAAAATTCAAAAGACAAATTCTTGTAATGATATGGTATTTTCTTTTATGTTTTCTTTTATGTTTTCTATAAATTATTATTATATTTTATCATTTATTCTTTTTTTTATTTATAATCTTATTTATTTAAATATTTAGTTAATACAAGAAGAAAAACAAAAACATTTAACATTAAAAGAAAAACTATCAAAAGCTAAATTTAATAAAGATAATATTACATTTTTATTAAAAACAGTAGGTATAATTATATTTTAAATTATATATATTATTAATAAAAAATTAAAAATTAACATATATAATTATTTTGTAATTTATTATATAGGATCAAGATATTACAGTAGAAGAAATGGCAAAAAAAAATCAGTTAGATCAGATGAAGAATAGTGATTTAAGTGACTGGTTAAAAAAACATTCAATTTCACATAATACTCATGGAAAAAAAACTGAACTTATTAATAAAATATTATCTCATATAAAAAACACACAAATATTGCAACAATATCGTATTTAAATTTAATAATATTTTTATAAGTAAAAATTATAAATATCATATAAAAAATATTTTTTTTATGTTACATTGTTAAAAAAGATAATAATATTTTATAATTTATATTATATCAAATATTAAAAATAATAATAATTATAATATTTAATATTTTTTAAATGTTACATGTTAAAAAAAATGCAAAATAAATAACAAAATAAAATTAAAAAGAATTAATAACAATAAATATTTGTCTATACCATTGATTTTTTATAATCTGCTATAACATTTAATATAGTTTTTCTATCAGCTTCATTTTCTATACCAATCTCAATTAAATCTTCATTACTTAAAGTCAAAAACAAATCAACATCAATCTAAAATAAATCATATAAAAATAAAAAATTAAAATAGAAAGTATAATAAAAAATTATTTAAATAATATTTTTTAAAATAAATAAAATAAGTTATGATTAAGCTAAATTATAATTAATTTTATTATTTTATATATATATAAAATTATATTAATATTTAAATCAAATATATTATATTATAATTTATAATATAATATTATTATGATATAATAATAATATTATTATTATATTTACTTCTTGTTGAAGAAATATAGATACATGCTGATTTAATCCATAATATTTCAATAAAGCAAACATTTTTGCTTCTTCTGAATTTAAAATCATTCCTCTTGGAGGTGTTTTGTAACGTGGAGGTGTTGGTGTATCTTCTCCAAATACATTCTCATCATTTATACTTGAAGGTACATTTGGTGAACGTAATGGGCTAAATTCAGGTACATATCCAAGAGTGGTATTAAGATCTTCTTCTTCATTTTGAATATCTAAGTCTGGTGGCCGAATAGACTGTAATCTTTATAGTACAATTATATATAATATATATATAATAATAATGAATGAATACTATCATATCATATAAATATACCTTTGCAAAGATACTTCGTTTATAGTTTTATTTTTTAAATAAATTGATACTATTTCATTTTTGTTTGAAATTATTTGATTATCTACTACATTATGCATTGTATTAACATTGATTTCATCAATATATTTATTTTGTATAAAATATATGTTTGGAGAAGTAGATAATTTTTCATTGAAAGTACAAGTCAAAGTTGGTGAAATTAAAGCACATTGATCAGTTTCTAAGTGATTTGTTAAATTTAATGGAGGAAGTTTTAAAAGATTTTGTAAATTTTTGTCAATATTATAATCAGTATTAGATGCTATAACATCTGTTTCATCTTCTATAAAAATATTATCTGAATTATTATTCCAATATTCTTCTATATCAAGATCTTTTGCAAAATTTTTTATTTCAGGTATTGTTGATTGTTTCATCATAATATAAGTATATTCATCTATTAAACAATTTATAATAAATGTAAATAAAAATAAATATGAATAAATATGAATAAACATTACTGTTTGTTTATATTAATATTTTTATCTTATATAAATTTTTATATATCATTATTTATAAAAATACAATATCTTACTACTTTTGGAAACATCAAATCCTAACTCTATTAATTTAAAAAATAAGTTTTTATCATTTTTCATAGCTGCAATACAAAGGGGTGTTATATCATCATTTAGAGTATTTAATAATGCTGATGGACATGCTTCATATACAATATCAAACATATCTTTATTTATTGCAGCTGCTAATCCAAATATAGACATACCTAAAAATCAATAAAAATAAAGAATTTAACGATATTTTATTATAATTATAATAATAAATTTTTCGAAATGATACCTTCAATTTTTTTCAGAATTAATATTATTATAATATATTAATAAATTTACCTAGATAAGTTGATTCATTTATATTAGCATTTTGTTGTAAAAGATATTTTACAGTTTTAATATTTCTGTTACGAATTGCTAACATTAATGGTGTCCAACCAAATTTATTTTTTCTATTAATAATTTGATGACATTCATATTTTCGAAAAATTTCTTTTATAATATCAAGGCAATCATTTGCTGCACTAATATGTAATAAATTCTCTCCATAACTATTTACCGTATTTAGCGTATATTCTGCAAAAAAATTAAATAATTTATATTTAAAAAAAAAATTTTAAATAAATTATTTATTTTTTCTAATTTGATTTAATTTTACAAAATAATTAATTTTAATTAATTAAATTAAATTTTGTAAAATTAAATTAATTATTAAAAAATAAAAAGAATAGTTTCTAAATATTATAATTGCATAAAATAAGTTATAGATTATAGATTATTATATAATTATTGATAATTACAATGTTACATACATATTAATTTAATACCTTCTTTTTGTAATGCTTTTATGACTTCCATTTCTACAGTTTTTTGCATACAATAATTTCTTTTTTTCTCATAATTTATTTGTTTAACATTATTTTTTTTAAACATAATTGATATTATTATTATGTATATGTTTTTTGATTAATTAATTTATATTATATTAAAATAGAATTTGCTAATAAATTTTTGACTTATTATTAGATTAAATCTTTGAAAGTGACCTATAAATGATTTTTTATATTTCGTTCGATTTGTTTGTAAACTTTTAATATATATGAATATTATTTATTTTTATTATGAAAAGAGCAATTGTTTATTTATCTATTATAAAATGAGTAGTGTATTTAAAAATAAAAAATATTAATTGAGTAATATATTTGTATTTAAAAATCATAAATTGATATTATTAAATATAAAATTTGATTTTATTTAATTTTTTATAACTTCCGCCAAAAAGTTTTGCATAAAATGTTTTTTTTTTATAATAGTATTATGATGGCAGCACAATCTCGTAAAATGTGACGTGCATGATAATTTCTGACAGTGTTTGAATTTCATTTTTGAAATCATATATCTATTTGACTCAAAACTGCAATTATTTCATAAAATTACGAAATTTCAATTTCATTTTTGTTCCTACAATATACGAGCAACGAAGTTAACGTGATTTTTTGTAACATATCGAGCAACTAACAGCGATAAATTTTAACTCAATGTGAGTTATTTCTTATCATGTACAATTTTTTTTCATTTTTGTTTCTTATCAAAATATAAAGAATTTTATTTATTGTTAGATTGTTATTGTATATTTTTATTTGATATTTAGATTATTTTATTCGTGGTATAAACGTTTGTTAGGTTAAGTTTCAGACGACGCCGAGATCATATTTTTTGGGGTGGGGGTACTAATTAAGAGAATGTGGATGAGGTAGACGAGTACATATCGTTACCGTTAGTGATCAATTTTTTCGAATCTTTATTAATTTTGGATCTACACATTGTAATATCAAGTAAATGCATTTATGTTGGGTTTTTCTTCTCTTTTATAATAAAACATTATGAATTATTTAATTTCATTATAACAATATGGAGACATTGATTGCTATTACTGTATCATAAAGTTCTCTTATGATATATATAAATTTTACTTGAATAATATATAATTTGCTATTTAGAATGGGAAGCAGTGGTCAATTGTATAGTTTATCCTGGGGAGAATTTAGTTCATCATTGGCTTCTGCAGTACAATTATTAAGAGGTCATGGAGATTTAGTTGATGTTACATTAGCTGCTGGTGGACGCAGTTTTCCTGCACATAAGATAGTACTTTGTGCAGCTAGTCCTTTTTTATTGGATTTATTAAAGGTTTTAACTTTATATTGTTTCATTATATTGAATGTTTTATAAAATATAATATAGTTTTAAATTTATAATTTATTTTCAATCCAATTTTTATTAATAGAGCACACCATGTCAACATCCAGTAGTTATGTTAGCTGGCATAGGAGCAGATGATTTGGAATCATTATTGGAATTTGTATATCGTGGTGAAGTAAGTGTGGAACCTTCTCAATTACCTTCACTACTTCAAGCTGCTCATTGCCTTTGTATTCATGGGTTAACACCACCTACTATATTGACTGAAGTATGTTCTATAATTAATTAATATAATATATTGCATTTAAATATTTTTATTTTCCTTATATATAATTTTCAATTTCCACATTTATTAATACAAAATTTATTAATATAAAACATTAATATATTTATTAGTATTTTAATTGAATCAATATTTACAATTAGCAATAATAATTTTTATATATTTGTTCAAAGATAATTAATTTTTCTATTTATTTAGAATGGAGAAGAGGTACCTGTATCAGCAATACCAACAGCAAATGAAGCTTTATCAAAAGAATCAATTACTCCCTATTTTCCATTAAAACGCAGAAAAAAGAGAAGAAAATCATCTTCATCTTCTGGAAAATGGCCACGTAATATTAATACTACAGATAATGAAAATAGGGCTATAGATGGAAGTGATAACAGTCGATCAACTAATTATGATCACAAAGATGAAGATAATACAGAACATGGAGATGACACAGGTAAGGAATATTCAGCTTTATACATAACGGCATATTTCATAATTACACACACACACATACACACACACACACACAGCATAGACATATATTGTATTTGTTAAATTTCTTGAAAATATATATTTAAATTCTCATTTTGCATTTATTGTTTACTTAAAATAATAGTATATATTATTTTATTATATTTTAAACATAATTTTCTTTCTGTCATTATGCATTAAACTGAGTTGATCATTATATTATTATCTAAGAATTAATGATCAGTTTAGTAAACAAATTTTAATAAGAATGGATATGCGATACTAATTGTGTTCTGTGTCCGATATATTATTTTTATTATTTATTAACATATTTTGAAGACAAAGTTTTTTTTTAAAAGCTTTTATATTTAGAACGGACACAAGCACAACCATCAATCGGGTTGAACTGCGTCTAATCAATCATATCATAAGATATAACAACTCAAAAATTTCAGATGTAAAAATCAGTTCAGCCCTGTATGGTAATATTGTGTTTGTGTCTGTTAGCAGCGAACGATCGGTTGGAATATTCGAATCATCGGAGTTGTCACTCGCCACGTGCTCAAGAAGCGCAGCCGGTGTCAACAGAAAATTCTCAAGCAGGAACGCATCAGGATCAAATATCGGACAATGAATCGCATCTTCACACTTTAATGCCAATGCAGCCATATTCTCCATTACATATACCGCAATTTCCCGGTCCTCTAAATATGGGCTTTCCTCCTGGAATACCGCTCCCATTAGTTACTCAGGGTACAACTGCTGGAACAGCGTCTTGTGGATTTACAGGCAATATGAATTTGTCTAAAATACGTGGTGCATCCGACTGTCCAGGCGTTTGTCCACTATGTGGTGCAACGTTACGACAAGCGAGAAATTTACGTAGACATCTATTATCGTCTTGCAAATATCGATTTAGTAGTAATCCGGTCCAAAGTTCCCCAGCTGATACAATGATGATAGAAGTAAAGCCTGAAGTCGAGTTATCTGGTTATAATGAGCATTCTATGACGTATGGAACTGATAGTGGAAGTAGTACCTGTGAGCAAATAATTTGTAAGCCCAGTCCACTTCCTTCGCCAACATCACAGGGACCAAATGTTGTTTCTCCTCAAAGCAATGTTTCGTCTCCAACTATCGCTAGATGAATATACAAAAATAAAATAAAAGCGAAAATTTGATGTAAACAGAATCTTCCGATTCTGTTATTGTGATTTAGAAACAACTTTGTTTCCTATCGCTAATTTGTTTTATAATGTATGTTATAAATTTAATTTGAGTCTGCGTATTCTTTTTTTAATTATTGTTTTAATGTACTTACAGGAATTTATGTTCTGAAATTATAATTTCTTTGCATTGTTTAAGGGAAAAAAATGGACTGACATTATTTTTTAAAGTTTGTCAGAATGAATTGATTGTTACATTCTCTGTATAGTTTATGTATTCTTATTTTATTAATTTTTCATTTCTGATTTGTTTCTGATTGATATTAAAATAATTTGAAGCAAAATGTTTAAAATAAACATTTACAATTATATTAAAATCTTCCACGTTAGTAAATAAGAGCAGTATCTTTAGGATTAATAGGAATAGCAATCGATAAAAAATTATTCATAGTAAAAGCGATGATTAATAAGAATTGCAAAATACTTGTAAATTTTCGATATCTTTCAAATAATCACTTATGCAATAATTGTATATGATCAGTTTTATATAAAGTTATTGAATTACAAATCTTTATTGCTCAGGTTTTTTTCTTTATTTTTTTAATAAAATATCGGATTAATATTTTAAAATTACAAGAGAATTCGAACTTCTGTCGATTATGTAAGAAAAAGAACACTAATAATAATATCATGGTTAAAATAGAAGCTGATTTATATCTATTTATATATATAAGAAATTAAAATATTTTCTTATAATTACAAAAATCGTAAATTAAAATAAGAAAAAAACTTAATTGACAGAAATTTTAATCTCTATCGAAATAATATATTTATTTTCGCAGTTTTATTTTTTTAAAAAGCATGCATTTGACTTTGATACTGATCGATTGATAGATGTAAAAATCGACGAATTATGAATTATATAGTATTTAATTATAATAGTAAGTAATAAAATTATTTGACAAATTAATAAAAGTTTATTTTATCATGGATTTTATATTTTTAAATAAAAGAATCTTTATTAATTCGTAGTTCTTTAAGGTATTTTGCAAATTATTTATTTATAACTTTTACTATTATTTATATAATTGTATTATTAATCTAATTTAGTTAGGAGTTGGAATACAATGATTTGAATAATAAGAAAAGGTCAGAAAAATGAATATACAGCCCAAAACGTAAGCTAGTTCGATTATATATACTGCCTATCCTTACGGTGACTTCTTTTTAAAGTGTGTTTGAACGTGTTTAGATCTGACGGAATTAATTTTAGGAGATGGATTATCCAAATCACGAAGTATGTCCGATCAACCGGCGTCGTGCCCACTTTGCGGAGCAATTTTACGTCAATCGCGAAATTTAAGGAGGCATTTAGAGCTTCTACATTTTGGACTCGGTAGCAATAATAAATCCGGTGTCCATATGAGACATCGAAGAATTGATAGAAATAACGATCTTGTTCGATCGACGCTCGCATCAATTTGTCCACCACATATGACAAGGACGGATTACTCAAGAGCTGTGGAAAGCACAGATCTGTCGACGTTAACGTCTTTATCCATTGCTTCGACAGTCAATTCCAACGCGTCAAATGTCAGCTTTGCAGGTGAATGCTTAGTAATTTGAGGTAGAAAACAAAGGGAACGATCGATATAATTATTTTCGAAATTTTACGACTTTTATAAGTAATAATAATTAAAATGCAAATTATCTGGTGATAAATTAAATAAAATAAATAACGACGAGGACATTAAAATAAATTACGGAAAATAATATTGTATCGATCTTCCTGTGATATCAAGTTTCCTGTAATTGTAGGACTTCTTACGATTAAATTTACTAATATATATATATATATATATATATATATATATACGATAAGGTAAAGATAGTAACTAAAATGTAATTTTTGTACATTTTAATTTATCATTATACGTTGAGAGACTGTAAGTTATTTTTTAGTTATTGTATTATAAATGTAATTGAATAAGAAACAAAATACAAGTATTTATGTTAAAAATGTTGTTAATCATCTTGTTTTATTTCTTTATTATTTTTATAATTTCTTATATTTATTTAAAATAATAATTACGTTTTGATCAATATATTATTGAATTACTTTGTTTCTTATGAAATTTCAAAATAAAATATTTGCAATATATTATATATAAAAATGATTTACAAAATAAACTGATATGATCATTAAAGTGAGATCTTTGAATTATTTTTTTTCTCTAATGATGAATGATTAAAAAAACTATTATTGTAAAAAATTTATCATTAAGGAAAAAATTAATCTCAATTCTTATATCTTGGTTCTCTTTTGTTAATTACAATGTATAAATATAAAATTATTAAAGCAATATAATTGTAACTGATACTATTATATCTTTGTATTCCTAACAGGAAGTTTAATGGGATCAAGTGTATTGGGAAGTAGTGATCAAAGCGCGAACTCTACCCTAGTCTCTGCATCGAGCTCGAATACAACTTCTATCGCCTCTGCCAATAATGGAATTTACTCGTCAGATGGTAGTGCCAGTATGCTAAATTGCTTATTACCATCGCTACCATCTTTGCCTTCTCTCTCTTCTCCGCACGATATGTTTCGCCACGGTGACATGTTGAGAGTTGGTATCGCGTACCATGATTCCTCCAGGCAACATCCCAGGCAGTCACAACGTACCGATATCACTTAATTTTTTTAATTATTGACATGATTTCGCCTTAAACAATTATTTCAATTAGATATTGTAATCGTTGTAAAAAACATATATGTCAAATTCTATTATAAATTCTGTAGAGATATTTTTTATATCGAATTGTGTTTTGTAAAATGTTTTTTAATTAGAAATTCTCAAGTTATTATTATAGTTTACTGCGATGTACAAAGAATTAAAGTTGTACAATACGAGAAATGCGTGGATATATCTTTAAGAATAGTGTATAATGTTGTTCATTTAATAAATAAAGAACGTACAGTTAAATTAAAATATGTTACACTTTAATAGTGAAACAATTGTATTTTAGAAACAAGTATGTCCATCTATTTTAAAAAATCATGTTTGAATCAATCATGTACGATTTATTAATTTTAAGGAAAAGGTAAAAGTTTAATGTCTATCTAATTTTTTTTTAATTAAAAATTATTTGTTAAAATTTTTGAAATTATTATTGAACTTTGAATAAAAATAGAAAAAGAATTTCAAGATATATTTTTCTAAATAACGTTTAAATTATGAAATTAGAAATACATTTATAGGATTTTGGACACATAGATATAATTTTTTTTATGAAATTTTATTTATAAATATTGAAATTTTTAACATAAATAGTTCTTCGATCAACAATCTTTCATTGATATCAAAATAATATTTTATCTAAAAATTGACATAAATGTGTTTCGAAATAATATAACGCTTCACAAATTTTTATTTATTCTTTAAATTTGTGACGATTATGCAATTTCAAAATTTTATAAACGAAAACGTATCTAGAATTTAAATATTTAATATACATGTACGAACTCGCATTGTTTTTTTTTTCTCTCTTTTTTTCCAACTCTCTCATTCAAATTTCAATTTTAAATGTAATAATAAGTGCTTATTTAAATATAAAAATTTTGATAATTAATTTAATTGTTCATTTTGTTAAATTATTGTCTGAAATTAATAATTGCAAATATTTATAGTAATTATAGGAAATAATTTTACATAAATGTTCATTGAAATTAACATTAGAAAAACGATAAAATCAAAATTAATATCCGATAAGATCAAAATTAATATCCGATATACATTAACTATTTATTCTATTTGCTTGCGGTATATCGTGCGATTAAATACTAATATTAATACTGGTAACAGTTCATTTAATAGCAACAAATATGAAGAATTTGTACATCTTATTAAATCACAAAATTAGAAAAGAAAAATTATTATCGATTGTATACATATAAAAATATATTGTACATTTCTTAAATAAATTTTTCAGTAAGAAAAAAAAATCTATCTAAATAAATAATGTTATATATATTGAAAACTTAAATGCAATTTCTGTTTGCGCAAACAATTGAAATTTCATGCACTCATCACAATCGTTTGACTTTGGACAACATTACAGAAAAATTTGCAGAACCAACTTGTAATACATATTTTATAATTAACAATGGCAGTGAAAACGCTTTTGGCGTTGTATGTTATAAAAATACTTAACCGTGTCTCTCTTTGAATAAATTAATTTTAAGTAACAAAATATCGATGTTACGGATGATCTTGAAAAAAACTTCCATTAAATTCTAGCAATGGAAGGGATTTATATTATTCACACGATGAGATTCATTTCTTCCGAATGATTTGTATGTCCTATAACAAATGGCCAATTTCTTTTTGAAATCCTTTCCAATTCCCCTCGTAAAAGTTTTAAAAGATCGTCCAAGTATCGCAGCTCATGTACATCCTGTCGTAGTTTATTTGTATCAGACAAGATATCCGTTATTCTCTGTTCATCACACTGGTTAATAAAATAATAAAAAAATTTTATGAAATATTCTTTCTTTTATAAAAAAAAAAAATATATATATATATATCTTTAACACGTAAAAATTATTACTTGAAAGCTTTCTCGAAGATTATATATATCTCTATAGATATCTTTGTTGCTAGTTTGAAGTTTTTTTATCTTATTTTGAAGATGTTTTACTAAATGTTCTGGATTTTCGAGGACTTCCAACACATTAGCGTCCGTTTCAGTCGTCAGGGCCAGCCTGGTTAATTGATCGTGCGTAGACGTGCTGTCGTAAAAACGATCTTCCTCAAGAAGAATCGTAGCTTTCTCAGGATTTATGTCAAGTTCTTCAAGAATCGATACTACTTCATTGATGGCAGTACATCGTTCCTATAAAAAAGATTATCCCTATTTTTTCGAATTTGATCCAAAATTCATAAATAAAAAACATCAAAAATATGAATATGAAAATCAATCGACAAATTTCTATTGAATATTTTTAATTAAATTAGTATCGATATATAAATTTAATTAAAATCGCATCAACGATGCGTCTTTTAAAAAGTAAAACCTGCGAGTTATCTAGCTTGTAATCAGTCGTCGCCAATTCATCACTGAGACACAGAAATGTGTTTTGCAGGTCGCTGTGCGTATCCGAGCTCCAGTCGTTGCTCTGGATACCGGAAGTGTCCAACGAGGAACTCCGTGTCCCCATCTTTCCACAATCTTCCCACGTGATGTTCAATTTGTCGTAACTGGATCTCTTGCTGATCGAGTCTGGTGTTTGCAAGCTGCACGATTTATTATAATCAGATACGTCTTCCATTTTCGTTTCATTTTCATTATTCTTTGTCCCGATATCGTCGTTATAGATCCGCTTGTTATCCTTCCAACTATGCAAACCGATTGTCGATACAATTCCTTCCTTCGGCCTGTTCTCCGCGAAAGATTTCAGTTGCATCGCTGAAATTCATTTGAATGGAATGAAAAAAAAAAAAAAAGAAAAGAAAGAGAGAGAAAAAAATTAAAGATAAAAGGCAGCAATTGACAACAAAGGCGGGAAACTCGCATTGGATAAGAATAATCAAAACTGCTTCAAGGGATTGCAAAGTTCTCGTTGAAAAAAAAAAAAAAAATTAGATAGAGGACATTGTGTGGGA